ATGCTTCGCAACGAGATCCCGTTGTACAAAGTCAAGAAGTCAATGAGCGGTCGACGTACACTATCGTAGTATCGGTAAAGTACTACGGTAGGCTTTACAATAAGTACTGTCGAAGCTGGTAATAGGGTGACGCTGTACGGGGTTACCATGACAACAGACTGTAGGCTTTTTCAATCTCTTCCCTTCTGCCAGCATTAGCCCTTATACTTCTCTCCCTCTTTATATTCCTTTCGTTCTCATTTCTATCTCCTTTCCTTTTCTTTACCTCACCTTGATGCTGTAACTCTTATTCTACCTACACATATCATACTATATACATATCTTCGATAACGTTCACTCACCGTCATGTAAGTTGCGTTTATTTCTATCGAAAGTTTATCCCTTGATATCTCTCGCCCATTTCAATATATTCTTCATATAAAAGATTTCTTCCTAATTTTATATAATATGATCTTTATTTATATTGACATCTGTGTATTTATTTATTTCTAATTTATTAGATAATATTTTCGAAACCTACGTTATCAAAAATCATAAACTTAAAACATTACAAATTTATTTCATTTAAAAAAATTAGGTACTTAATAGTAAAAATGAAAAAACTTACTTACGGATATTGTTCCACACAGATAAAAACTGTAACGTGAAACGCAGTTAACTTTAAATATTCAATGATCTTCTCTTTTATTTATAAAGATTTTTTATTTTCTTCTGTCTATTATCGTTTTAATAATATTAATAATTAATCTTAGAAATAGTAATGATTATATTGTCTCATGACCTATATATATACGCATCACATTATAAAATATATACATATCTTGTTATATTATTAAATTTGAGCTTGGTAAATATCATGCAATAAAAATTATCAAATGGATAAGGATAATTTAGAACTATATAGTTATTACATATTGATTTGTCTATCAGTATATAATTAATTAATAAGCTTATAAGTAACAGTCTGTTTTATCCGAAATACCGTGACTTACTTAATGTTATTTTTATAGCTGCATCATTTTAAAAAAAATATATTATTGCATATTTTTAAAAAATTTTATGTTTTTCATACATTACATGTAGTCTGTATTATTAAAAATCACCATATAGTTATATTTAAAATACAAAATAGTAAACTTTTTAATGATATAAAAAAATGCACTGTGTGTATAGGCACGCGCATGTTTATATATCGCGTTACGTTTGATTTCATAGTTAATAAATAATTTCAGATATACCTTGTTTATATCTGCTTCATTTTGAAATGGCTATATAAAAAAATAAATAAATAAATAAAAGATGGATGTTTATATTTTTATATAAAATGTTGTATTATTTATTGCATCGTTTAGTAAAAAAAAGGAGCTAATATACTTCGATACTTATTACAAACAGTCCTTTAATATTCATAGGATTAATTTTGTTCTAACTCCTAGTTCATAAAACTGGAATGGTAAATCAATATAAAAAGATACAAAAAGCTTTACACGTATACTACTTATGCATACATTCTTTTTTTTTTAAATTATGTTACATTCAACTGTACAAATACAAAGTAAAAAATTGTAATAAAAGATATATCACTTTGGTCACTATAACTTTTCATGATTTGCATAACACTTTACGAATCTTACAACTAAAAATCACAATACAATTAGCCTGTACAATAGTAAAAACATTAAATCGAGGAAATTTCATAATAAGCACTTAACAATGAAATTAACAATTTTCAGGTTAGATATTTATAGATGTTCTTAAATATGTATTAATTGTTTCATTCTGTAACTGAAACTTTAAAATTAAATAATCACACAACTACTAAACAGGAATAATAGAATACTTCAGAGTATGGAGATTTAAGTTTTTTAATTTTAAATACTTTAATTTAATTAATTACTAAAATTTTGGGTACTGGAATTAATTTTCTACGCATATCTAAATTGTGTATACAGATCTCATCATGATATGGAGAAATCAAACATTTACATACATTATCATATGTCATATATCATATACGTTCACATTATAACAGAAATGAAAGAAAGGTCGTATATGAGAAAGAGTAAATGCTACCGTTTCTTTTTCATGCCTTTGCGATATCCTTTACCAAACCACCCAGGATTTTTAGCAGCTATCGGAGGATCTGAATGGATTACCAATGTTTTTGTATCTTTTATCTGCTTACTTTCAGGTCCTATTAAATTAGAATTATCTGCGTCTCGTTGGTAATAAAGGCAAGTAAGAGAGCCTTCGTTTTCCATGCAGAAAATACACGTAGGTTTAGGTTTTGGCACGTCTGAGGTCATATCCGGTACTTGCATGAATGGATAATAAAAAAATGGTGTTAGTTGAGGGCACATATACATTGGTGGAAATGGTAAGCCCATGGACAAAAATGGTAATGCAGTAAAAAATGGAGCTGAATAAGCAGACATTGATTCGGTTACTCTTTTGGATGAAACACATTCTTCCTCTTTGGTTTCGGTTGAAACATCTTCGTGAAAATTTTCATTAATTTGATTTAGTTCCTTATGAACAATATTGGATGGCTCTTCCAAGCAAGGTTGACTTGTTGTGTGCTGTTCATTATTTCTAAGTCGTACAGCGTGGAAAAAAATAGGATCCTTGGCACGATTATACTGTGGTATTTCCAACCCAAGATGAGCCATAATTCTTTTCATAACTTCGTCGCATTTTCCATTTATTTTCAAAACTGCGTTTTCGTCCTTCGGCGTCCATTGTAAATTTACAATGTACAGTGACGGACGTTTGTGTATCGGCCTATCCATCTGCCACAACCATGGGTATTTCTTCAGAACTTTTAAGCTAGAACCTAAACACAATATAACATCTGCTTGTTTTGCTGCTCTTGTTGCACCATTCCAATTAATTGGCCAAGGAAGATTGCCTCTTTCACCAAAATGAACAATGGAATCTTGCAAACCAGAGTTACATCTATGGCATAATCTTCCAGTACCATGAGAATATCGAGCAGTTTTTTCAGTAACATCGAATAGTCTCCAATATTCTCTATATGGTTTACACATTCTACAAACTTCTACATACATATTGCCATGAACTTCAGATAGAAGTGTACGAGGTATTCCACTACGCAAATGAAGTCCATCACAATTTTGAGAAACTACATGTTTTAAAACCCTTGCTTTATATAAGGCATAAAGAGCCATATGTGTCAACGTTGGTTCTGCTTGGCTAAGATCATGATTTCTGAAATATATAATAAATTAATCAAAATACCTAGTAATATAAATAGTAAAAGAAAGCTAAATCTGATTAATTATCCTTTAACACTATTTGATTAGTTTTAACATTACCCGATATCTTTCCCTTGTTGTAAACGAGTCCAAACACCATTTGTTCCTCTATAATCAGGGATAGAAGCGGCTGTACTAATGCCAGCACCAGTATAAACAGCAAGCGATGTCGCTCTGCTGATAGCTGCAGCCAACCTCATACACTTTTCTTCTAAAATTTCTGGTGCATCTTCTACCTCTTCAAGCCTTGCTTTTACTCTATGTCTTTTCTCTTGTCTAAGAAATTGGTAAATTTTTTGTTAACATAATTGTCAGCATATTTATTACTAAACTACATTTTCTAAATATTTATTTGTTCATAAAAACGATAAGAAGATTCATATATTATGACAATTTTCCATATTATGTTAGCAATAACAAAATAATTTGACATGTTCACAGTGTGCAATCAATGATTTCCAAAATGGCTATACCTTAAATTAACCTCTTTTACTACATCACTACAAGATACGAGTATCCCTGTTTCTTCTGCAGTTCTGTCTCTTTCAGATTTTTGCAAAATTGCAGCTACCTAAAAAGACGTAAAAATGTAACATTCCCATTGTTGTTTACGATGTATCGAAAACAATGCCGGGAGATACATTGAAATTTTGGATAAAATTTACGACTAACTAACTATAATAGAATAAGTAGTATTAAAAATTATGCACGTACCTTTTTAAAAGTTGCTACTCGTTCGTCTTTAACTTTGAAAGCTTTAAGAGCTGCGGAACGCCTCCTTGACAGAAACTTCTCATTACCAGCCTCCTCCATCTTTAATCAAAACGACCAGCACGGCACTGTATCAAGTATCTAAAATGATAGAAATGTCATGATCGCTTAAAATTAATATTTCTAGTATATCAGTAATATATTATCTATTATTGTTATTAATAACGTACATTTTTCACTTAAAATATGATTAAAAATACGTTGTGAAGATGTACATGTGCATATTACAATCTTTTACAATTAAATTTATAACTATGACAAAGTTATAAATGTTATCGTTTTAAACTATGAATACTTCATGACATAGAATGACAATATTAAAATGGCAAAAATACATCCTACATTACGAATACTCCAATTTTGTCGAATATACATAAACCATTGTAAACAGTTTTATTGCTAACAAAAAAAGTAACATGTTTTTTAACATAAATTTGTAGACTTAAATTAATTTATATAACACAAAATTTGTCATTTATTTTGCCAAGAAATTCTGTACGTAGAAGGCGACTATTCTATATGACATTCTGTACGAAAATATTCCTAAACTTAATATTAATAGAATCAATGTAATCAATGAAATCACGGATGCATATATTTAACAATATTAAAGCAAAAATTATACATAACAAAATTTGATATTGCTGAATACTTATTTTACGATTTAACATTTAATTAATACATCTTACATTTAATCCCATAAACAATTAATAGTGTCGTTAAAGAATATTAACTTTTTCTAGATTTTTGAATTACATATAGATGTATGTTATCCATGTAAACTATTCATATACATTTATAGCATTATACAAATCCAAACATTTTTTTTTAAGTTTCATACAAAGAAAAAACGAGTTAAATTTGGCAATAGTAAAAATAATTTGTATTAGCGATAACAAGAAGGTTATTAAATATACAATTGAAATTCTTTCGAAACTTGTTCCCGCCATTTGAAAATTTAAATATTATCTACACGTTTGTATTTTCTATTGTGGTGTGAATCGACAACTCTGGACAAAATAACGATTATATTTTCGACTTTGATTTTATTTGTTGACAAAGAAAATTCGAAGTTTATGATTTCTATTTGCAACTAAATAATTACAGTCAGAATGAATAGGTACTAGTGGAAACGGTTTGATAATTAGTCATGCCAGGTTTAGAAGAAAGTATTTCACGCGATACCAGTCCACCTACGCACAGCCTAATGTCCGATGGAATCGTCTCTGAGCAAGTGAAAAAATTTTTGTTTACTTCTCGTAAGACTCAGGACAACATACAGTGCAACGAAAGTTTAGAGATTTATATCCTCGAGGTACTACAATTTTTCAGTAACTAATACATTATTGATTCATTTTTTTATTGTATGTATATCACATGTACTCTTTTTGGTTATGTATTTTTTTGTATATTGGGTTGGCAACTAAGTGATTGCGTATTTTGTCAATACCACCCAATGATAAAATCCGCAATCACTTAGTTGCCAACCCAATATTATTATTTGTAAAATAATTGTGTTAGTAATTCTCTTTTTTTTTAAATGAAGTAACGTAGATAAAGCGTTTAATATTTGAATTCATATTTTAATTAATCATAAAACATTAAATATTAATAAGTTTTAAAAGATAATTTGATTCTTTAAAGTATATTGTGAGTAGGTTAAAATTTATAATCTTATTTAAGTATTTTTTGCCTCATGTATTATTGTCAACTTATTTTTTGTTACAGTTACTTCAAGCTAATTATAGTTTTTATACATGGCCTTCTGCACCTGTGTTAGCTTGGTTTCTTTGGGAACATAAAGAAGAACTTATTGGGAAGAGAGTTTTAGAACTTGGTTCAGGTACAGCTCTTCCTGGAATTTTAGCTAGTAAATGTGGTGCTATTGTAACTTTAAGTGATTCTGCTAGTTTTCCTAGAAGTCTGCAGCATATAAGAAGAAGTTGCGAATTAAATGGTATCTTATCTAAAGTTCAAATTGTTGGCATTACATGGGGTCTATTTTTGTCTAGTTTATTTTCAATTGGGCCATTAGATTTAATTCTTGGTTCTGATTGTTTTTATGAACCAGCGTTATTCGAAGATATAGTTGTTACGGTAGCATTTTTATTAGAAAGAAATCCAAATGCAAAATTCTTGTGTACCTATCATGAAAGAAGTGCAGATTGGTCTATAGAACATCTATTAAATAAATGGAATCTTACCTGCACTCATATATCATTGGCTGGACTCGGAACAGATTCTGATATAAACATACATGAATTAATGCAAGATCATACAATTCACTTATTAAGTATACAGCGTGCAGCTTAAGTGTCTTTTGCCATGATTCCAAGATATTTAATTTCTATACGTAATATTCCATGGACTGTTTCTCACTCCCAACTTGAAGGATACTTCTCAAAATTTGGTAGTGTGAGAACTGCAAAAGTTATATTTGACAAATATGGTATAAGCACAGGTTATGGATTTGTAGAATTTTATGATAAAGTAGTAGCAACCTCTGTGCTTAACAAAGATCATGTTTTGGATAATGGAAAATTATCTATTATTAATGGTCTTCAATATTTGCACGAAGACCCTGTTAAAGAGTTTGTAGAGCAACACATATTAGATGCTGATACAAATTGGAAATGAAAGTATATGCACAGTGAATAGACAATAAAAAAATAATCACAATTAATATAAATCCTATTATTAACCAAGCCTTTGATCATAGTTTATTAAAGTAAATAATATAAACGACATCAAAATGAATCTTGAAAAAACGTTCAATAAAGCAACAATCTATTTACAGTCACTGGCATCAGAATTAAATTCCACAGAACTCTTAAAATTCTATGCTTTATATAAGCAGGCTACAATTGGACCATGTAATATTTCAAAACCCAATTGGTATCAAATGCAAGCAAGACAGAAATGGGACGCATGGAAAAGTCTTAATGATATGAGTTGTGATGATGCTATGAATAATTATGTACTTGAACTATCTAAACTTAATCCAAATTGGGAACAAGATGCGCAATCTGAATCTAATAACTGGGTTGCTATTAGTCGATTAATAAATATGGAAGATGAAATAAGCGATACGGACAAAACTTTTTTGGATTGGGTGAAAGAAGGACATGATGAGAAAGTACAAGAACTACTAAACAAAGAACCAAAACATGCAAATTTAACAGATTCAGAAGGTCTGTTACCTATACATTGGGCTGCAGATCGAGGTCATTTGAGAATTATAGAACAATTAATTAAAAAAGGAGCAAGTGTAGATTCACAAGATGAAGATGGGCAAACACCATTGCATTATGCAGCTTCATGTGGGCATCTTGATGTTGTAAAGTATTTACTGTCTATTGGAGCTGAATCCATAAAAGATAATAATGGTATGACACCCAAAGACATTGCTGATGAACATTTAAAACATATATTGTGATTAAATATTAATATATGTAATCATCATGTAATAACTAAATTTAACGATGAATGTTAATAAATTGAATTAATGATTTTCTCATAGTGTTTTATATTATAGTTTAATTGTTTTTAGAAACTCTTTATTTATATACAAATAAATCTTCCATTAGCATTTTTAACTATATTCACAGCCTAAGCATTTCTTAGGTAAATGTATAATTTATCAGAGACAATGTTAAAACGTTTTTACATAGTAGTACATTTTTAGGCACAAAATATAAATAGTATTTTAACATTAATCGAGTACACAGAGACTAATGTACTCACTTTACAAATATTTTTAAATTAGTTAATGAAGAAAAAATGTATAACTTATAACAATAAAAGATATTCAAGAAATTACATACTTAAAATCATTATTTCAAATAAGATGTAAATGTTGTTGCATTAGTTGTATCATTATTATAATTAATATATCAGTCAAGTATACATATTACTACAAAAAAAAATGTAGAAACCAAGAAGTTTAAAAAAATGTATAAAATATTCTGCCATTTTTTGTTTTTTTTTTTACTTAACTAATATAACAATGTTTAATATGTAAATTTCATCTAATATAAATCCTGATTATTTGATGGAATGGATAAAAGTATGTTTATGATGTATTTAAATATTGTTTTCAGCAACTAAACATTTTATCAATTCTATCAAGTTTTTTAATAAAATATATTGAAATTTTATATCTATATCATCAAACAATCAGTTACAAATGTGAATTATTGAAATGAGAAATAATCAAACAAATTTATAACATTTTCCTTAATAATGTTGCTTAAAGAGAGTTCGCTAAATCGTATTTTCAACATGCAGGTGATTTCATATAAAAAAACAAATATAAAATTAGATTTGTTTTTTATTATTTCATACTTGTAAAAACAAAAAGAATTTTTTATATATGAAATTATTACGTGTTATATACAATATGTTTATCAATACATATATTTTCCTTTACATTTAAAAAATACTCCATTTTCAGAAGCTACAATTTGTTAATATATTGTAATATATTTTTATAAATCACAAAATAAGTATTCCATTATTAAACAAAAATAAAACAATTTTGTAATACAATAAAATAAATTTTGAATAATTAGGTAATGTTATTAAACACTTTTTTATTTGAGCTAAATAACTGAAAATTTTAGAATTTTTGGCAATATTATAAACTCTATATTATCACAGTATTGTTATTTTGTAAAACAAATACACGCAAAGGGTGCCTATTTATTTACATTAAAGTCAATTGATATTAGTTCATCCAAAATTCTTTGCAACAACTTAAAGCTAATTCGAAAAATTCATCCCTTTTCTGTGTTTTTTTTATAAGTAATCACCTTATTAAATGCATCACAATCTAGCATATACTCTGCAAGTATAAATAAATAACATACAAATGTGTTATAATTAATGCCAAATATATACCATTTTGTATTACATAATAACCATACTGAAAGTTGTGTGCTTAAAAGGTATGTCAATCTAGAGACATTAAATGCCACGTCTTTTTATACATTTATATGTTTTCATTATTCTGATAACAAGTATAAAAGTCGATAAGTTGCAAAAATATTAGAGTTAAATATGAAAATAAGATGTATAACTTTTTTTAATTATCTTTAGTATATAACTATAAAAACTTAAAAATGTTTAATTTTAAAATACAGAAGAAAACATATTTTTTCGCCTTCTGCATAATTTTAAAAAGTTAAAATGAAATTTTATCTAACTGTGCTATCAATTTCAATGTACTTATCGAAATTGGAACGTTCATTATTTAACATCAAAAATAGGAAAATTTACATTATCCTGTTAAGAGTTTCCTATAGTTCCATATTATTTTATGAGAAATATAGCCTTCATTTTTTAAAAATATTAATTTCTATAAAGTTCTCTTATAAATGTAATAATCACTTTTTATACAGTTGATTCTAGAGATTAGTACTTTCGTGTTCCGATTTAACACGCGCGGTGGGTGGAGGTGGTGGTGGCGGTTGAGGTCGCGGAGGTCTTTGATGAAATCTTGGAGAAGCCGGAACAGGTTGTTGCGGTGATTTAACAACTACCACCGTCTCAGTCTGAGTTTGCACATCGATAATATTCCCTTCTGATCTGGTTCGCACGTGAGCTTTCGTTTGTTCCGGAGCGTTCAATTTGGCTGGCTTTTCCGGTCGTTCGCCGTACAAGGACATAGACGAAGGTCGACTACCTACACTGGGGCTTCTCTGTAAGTTCGAAGCCGCGTTGCCATTGTTGTTGCCCGAGGTGCAGAACACATTGCCACTGCCACGCACTTGTATTATACTGACCTGTTGTTTGTCCACTGAATATACATGAGCTCTTTCCAAAGTTAAAGGCTATAGGTTATTAAAAAGGAAAAAGATATTAATAGCTCTGAAAAATTATTATGCGATTCGACATTTTTTTCATGAAAATAGCTATTAACACGTTTATTCTTCATCTTTATTTATAGCTTACGTTATTGTATTTCAAAATTGCAATATCCAGGCAGTGATATTTGTCGAGTCCATTGGCAGTAACTACATTTATTTTAAAGAATTATCTTACATATACTGGGACTAAACATGACGTTTAGAAACCCTTAATACTCACTCCTGCTTCGCTGTCTAAGTTTTCGTTACTGTGCCGTGGTTGTTGTTTAATAAGGCTCGAAGGTCGTATTAATCCGGCTGGTCGTTCTGGAATCGCCGGTTTACTACTTCTATCAAGTGTGCTTGTACATACAGGATTATTGTCCGCCTTCTTACGTAATTCAACCGTTTCTTCTTTAAGATTAAGACACATATTAAACATTTCGTATTATGCTTCTTGATAAAAAAATTATAAAAACATTTACCCGCATTATGTACTATGTTGGTTATACTTCTTGGGGCAGCTACTGGTCTACGTCTTTCTAATGTAGTGGGAGGCGGTCTTTCAGTTGGTATTACCTTTAATTTTTGTATAGAATTTTCTGAATTTTCAAGTTCCATAAGAGACTTATTGCACGATATATTTTCCATAGTGTTCCTTTCAAGAGCAATAGGAACATTTAATTTCTTTTCAGCCTTTTGAGTTTCTTGATTAATCTTTTCAGTTTCTATGTTTGCATTATGTAAATCTTCTTGTACCTCGTCAACGCGTTCTGGACAATTAACTAACGAAGAATCAATAAGTGCATTTGCTTCAGTATTTTGTTGTTTAGTTTCTGTTTCTGTGCTTCCATCTTGCTTATCTGTACTAGTGTCATGTTTTGTAATTGATTCGGTATTTGTTGTTTCATGTTTTTTTATGCGATTAAGAGTCCCTGATGTTAAAGGTCTAGGTGGTTTATCAGGTGTGGGTGGTGGTTTATCATCAGGTTTCTTATCATGTTTATCCGGAGTAGTGATACTTGGTGGTGTTGGAGCTGGTTTGTTTTTCCTACGAGCTGCTGGTTTAGGACTGCCTTGTGGAGGACTTTCTCCATGATCACTAAGACTACTGTTAGAAATGCAACGACGCATACTCGTAGTTTGATTTTCCGAACCAATTATAATACCAACTTCTAAATCGCGATCAAAATCTATTTCACCAGGAAAAAACCAATCTGCATATGTGATTAACTGATCAACTATAAGACTAGAGTTATTAGCTGTACTCATGTTCATTCTGAAATAATAAATATTACATTAGTAGAGATTATCATATAACTTTTTCTATGATGATCAATGATACAAATAATGTAAATGGATAATATTCTTACACCATTGTATTTGCATCCTCTTGTGGACTCCATATTAAATTGGGCGCGATTACAATTGCAATATTTTGTGGTGACATTTTGTTCACATCTTGGTTTTTAGTGAGAACAGCTAGAAATTTGATTAGGAACCGCAGATTTTCTAAATTTACAGCTGGTAACTTATGTAACACCTCCCATAGAGCCCTTAATCTTGTTTCATTCTGAGTTATTTTTGCAGCTGCCATCCATTCAGGATACAACCTTTGAAATAAGATAAAAATAACGAATATAATGTTATAATTTTCTTCGTCATCATTATGGATAGTAAATATTATTTTTATATTTACTTGTAAGTTAGGAGAGGTTCAGGTAGTTCTCGAAGATAAGATTTTAATGCACCAGCAATGACATGTGGATCTTTATACTCAAGAGCAGTTGGTAATGTAAGGCAGCATGCATCTAAACTCAATTTAATTCGACGTGATTTTGACGCAGCGCCAGCTATTCTAAAAAGGCCCTCTTCTTCCATACCTAATCTTAGCAATGCAGATACACACAATTGAACGGGTAATGCAATTTTTCTGTTAGTTACTCTGAGATGTTCTTCCAAAGGATAACCATAAACTGGTTTCATTTCGTTATCATCTACAATTATGAAACAGGATTACATATTAAATGAAATTTTTTGGTAAGTCTTGGAAGTATTACATGATAAAATTCGTCAAACGTGCCAAATGTTTTTGTTTCATAAATACGATTAAATACATACTAATATAGCTTTCTAATCCAGGAATAAGGTCTTCAAGGCAATGTAGCGCACTTTCATGATAAGCTCTTTGAAGTTTTACATATTGTATAATAGTATGTGCTAATTCAGTTTCACGTGACATAAGTTGAAACATTTCTGCAGCTAGTTGATCTCTACATTGCTCAACTTTAGTTTCTGCTTCTTCTAATTCTTCTCTTAAGTTATCTACCTTTGTTGCACCTGCACCTATTGCACAATATTAATTTCAAAATATAAACATAATTCTTGTAATACAATTTAAAAATCAGATTAAAATTTCTTCTTACTAGCACTATGTTTACTGGCTTGTTGATATCTTGTTCTCACACTATCCATATCTAAAGTTAATCGGGCTAAATTTCTTTTATGTTTTATTATGTTTGGTACATCCGTATCTAAAATATGTTGAAGAGGCATTGCAACATATTGTTCAACTTTTGCTTCATGTTCAATTGCCTCATTTGCTAAATACATCTGTGCACGTCCACACTCTGACAAAGTAAAACCCATGAGACCATCTTCAGGAGCATTCTCCAACATTGTTTGACCTAATATATATTCTGGACACTTTTTCTGAAAAGATATATATTTTTAAAAACGTAAAAAGAAGCTATCATCAAAATTTAAACATAAATTTCATCATCATGTATTACCAAACGCTTTTCCTTCAGTGCAACATCTTGTGTCATAGCCTGATTTGGTGGATTACCAAGTCTTTTGTTTAATCCAATGAGAGCCATTCTGATTTGATCTACATGTTTATCTGCAGCTTGTAAATCATCTGTAAGCACTTCTGTTTTGCCAGCTCTATAAAAACAAATATTTAGTTCATTAATTTTTGAAGATTGACAAATTCAAATTAACATAACGGTCTTTAAAGTCAATCCATTTTGAGATAGTCTGATTCATAAGCTATTTTGGTATATCATGTCTGCTTCTATCGAATGTTATGGTGTTTTGACATTGCTCAAAATTATATTGTTTAAAAATTATACAGAAAAACAGAGATTCTTATCTTTTATTATGATAGGTATATCAAAATATTATATTATTATATGCTTTATTTAAAAATGTTTAATATTTTATCTACCAATCGTAACATTTAGAAAAAGCAAAATTTTCGTAGACTTTTAAATGAAATTAAATCACAATTACCTAGAAAATGTTTGATCAGCAAGCTGTTTAACTCTGAAGAATTGTTTCTTCATGATTGATAAACACCTAACGCTTATTATATAAATAAAATTACACGATAATCTACTAAATTATGATCACTTATCACTTGTTAACTGTGACGACGTTCACGAGCACACATGTTTAGTATAATTAGAGGACATAAAAGAAATGCGGACGATAAAAAAAATAGAGAGAATCCTTCGTATCACTCGAAAGGCAGCAATTCGTCATAATGTTTGTATAATGATCCCACACCCTCTATGAACAAATAGAATGTCCCGATCGATATATCCTTCCACAATATCGACGAGTTTCCACTCTCAAAAAAGTTTCAAGATTCACTTCTTGGATCTTAAATTTTGTAAACGTGTCAAAATCATAGAAATTTTAATCGCGGCATTTTATTTCCTTGTTCACCATTGGTTGTTTAATGAAACCGCGAAACCGAGCAAAGATTTTCACGTTGTTCATTATTTGACAAAACTTGGATTACGTGTCAATTTTGCTTTCCTTTTTAAACAGGCATTAAATTTCTATCAAAAGATTCGATAACGGGACAACCAACAACTTTTTACTGTTCTTGGTCAGCCATTCTTGTTTCTCACTGTGATTCAGATTTCGTTTAGAACGAGAAATCGTTTCAATCGCGCGAAATTTGAAATATAAAATTCGCGAAACGCGTTAAGTAATCGTAACGACCTACAGTAACTCACGAAAATATTTCAACATTTATTATAAAATAATTTTATGTATTTATTGTGTCTATTATATATAAATTGCGGATTTTTATGCAAATTTATATTTTTATGAATACAACAAAAGCAATAAAACTAAAGTAGAATTTCGTTCTACCTATTAAAAATTATAACGATATTATTTTATTACGTTTTTTTATATTGTATGCATTCTGTGCATTTTATATAAAACAATTTGAAATTTTATTAGCGCTGTAATGAGATACGACTATCATGATTATATTATTCAAATTTATGAAAGAAATTCTGTTACCATAGATTATCTAGCTAGGTTTTAAGAATATATATTTCAAGTTTTAAATTGAAGGTTTATTTGTAAGCTTAAGGTGTAAAACAAGCAATGATTTTATCCAAAAACCATAATATGTAGGTGGAGAAAATAAAATAAAATGTTGCTTAAATTTATAACTTATTTAGTTACAAGATATTTATTGCAAACATATATTTAGTAAAAACTTAGTATGCAGCATGAATAATTATCTTAACCATAGAATAAATATTAAATATGATCCCACTGAATATCAGGATTTATCAATGAATACTTTTATGATCTCTGCAAAATATAAGAAATAAATATATATGTATATTTTCAAACTTGTTTGTATAAATTACATTTTAATACAAAACCTTTTTCATAAAAAGTTTTATACATGTTCGAATCAATGATATTGAAATAAAATAAATATTAGAAAAATTGTATATAAGTTTTGATATATTTTTCGTACTAGGAAATGTTTTTCGAAAAAACGTTATTATACAATACAAGCGTTAAATAAGTATAGCAATCATAACCTATTCGTATTGTGTAAGGTATCGATATATCGATATTTATTGTAACGTATCATGTAATCGATAACTATTCAACCATATTTTGACGATGACTTCAAATCATGTCAATTGAGAAAGGGAAGAAGGGAATTATGTATTGTTAGTTGTCACACGTTGGCCTTTATTTCTCAACTAATCGTGACCATCTGTTGACTCTTAATACACAATATCGGTTAACGACACTTGAAGTGCTCGCGCGGAAGATCTGTCTGGACTTTTTCCCATTCTTTTCCTCTATTTTTGGTAAATTTTATTCAAAGTGATCATCATGACAATAGATAGAGGCTTTTTAAATGTGTTGATACTAAGTTGGGGATTTATGCTGGTATTTACCGCGTTTCAGACAATGGGAAATATCGAGGTAAGTTTGAAAATAAGATCATCGCAATATTTTAATGTTGATCTGAATTTTTTTATCTTTCTTTATTACATATATTTTACAGTTTTGTACGAAATATACATATACATTTTATTTTATATAAATCACTATTCAATGTGGTTTATATGGATAACATTTGATACAACATATACATAAATTGAATAGATTTTATATATGCATGAGTTATATTTAATTTTATCACAGAGGAAATACTTCTCTCTCTGGTTTCATAATTATTCATTGGTTATACGAAAAATTTGAAATGTAATTAGTGAATAAACTGAAAATGAATAAAATTTTTAATATTTTGCGGAAATATTGTCACTATGTAGCTAAACATAAATTAATGTTAAGATAAGGTTTAATGGAACCATTTAAATGGACAATGTATGAAACTGTTTGTCTTTTTTAACTATGTAAGGTTAGCATATGTCAAACTTAAAAAAAACTTTCATTATTCTTATAGCTTTATTATATGTTATAGTAATAAATAATATTGTAAGTTGAACATTTAGTATTGTTAGTTAAACAATATTTATCATAATCAATGGAAATTACCTTAAACACTTTATTTACGTATTTTTTATTGTATGCTTAAAACATATTGTGTTCATTATTGCGCATGGTTTAAGTTGTGGAGCCATTATTTTAAGTGGAAGTTATTTAGTATTAAGTACTGCAAATGTAATAATTTTGGAATCATTAAAAATCAATAATTAAATTGACCATTAATATTTTCCTTCTTTAACTATATATCTTCACTTATATACCATTATGTTAAGAAATATAGAACGCTTTTTATGTATTACATACCCATAATGGTTCTTTGTAGAAGTTTTAAAATCACATGATTATTATATTAACATATTTAACAATACACTTAATAATTTGGAAACATAAATTAGCTATAAATATAATAATATTAATTATAATGTAATCTAATATAGATTAACTATAATAATATTATTATTATATATATATAATGTTGTTATATGATTAACAGATAACATTTCTTGTCATTTTTATATGCGCAGTACTTTTTACGTAAGAATCTGTAAAATGTTTTTCACAATAGTGTAATTCGTTAAAGTGATTCATTTATGTTTCATTAGAATAAAAGCATGCATCATTATTATCATAGCGTTCATTTAAACAAATATAAACATGTGACTTTGAAATTTTATACATACAATGTTAAAAAGAATGTTTTCATGAAAGAGTCAGTTGTTTATATAGGAGAAAGTTAACAAAATATTCAGATTCATTTTTTCTTTTTAATTTTTATCTACAAAGATTTCAATATCAATGTAATTTCTTTAAATGGAATTGTACACATATTTTTATCATTTAAGGATGTTTATAACAAGTATATTTAAATGATAATTTCTCGAGTATCGTTATAAAAAATTAGTGACAATTGTCACATTTCGTTAGCATCTATTACATAAAACGAATGAGCTGCGAGAAAAAAAAAACAGTTAAGTCGAACCGCGTCGGTCTGGTTTGAATCCAAATGTAAAATTATTATTCTTTGTTACATTCTTAATATGCGATAAGCATAAAATTACTTTCAGCTGAAATTTAAGCTGCTAATATCACTATCAGTCATTTATCAGATCTAAGATAAAAGTAGGAATTTTTGTTATTATTATTATATTCTATAAGTATGTACGATGCGTAAAAATTGAAGATTAAAGTATTATTTTCTTTTAACAATAACATATAATTTTATAACTTTAATGGTCGTCATTGCAATTGTTGTAACGATACAATAAAAATGTTATTCCACTCTGTATTAAAGTATAAACTAAAAGCCACAATATGACATATATGTCGATAAGATAATATTATTTCTTTCATCTTTATAAAGACATACATATAATGTTATAAATACAGAATACAAATACATATTACATTGAATATGGCACATCGATATGTACATATCGTATAGAACGTGTTTAATGAATGATTCAATGCACAACAAGAAAGAGATATCATTTAATTGTCAAGCCCTGATAACTCCTATCAATTTTATCCCGCAATGAAGATGAAAGCAAGGAAGCCGTGTATGAGTATAAAATCACGAGTATAAAATCAAGCGGATAATGACTGTACAAATAAAAATATTTATTGAAAAAAGGTCGGTGTGTAATCGAAATATCTATCTCATAAAAAATAATATTTTTAAATTGGGATCATCGTGAAGTTCTGTATGTTGTTTTCTACATTTATCTATAAAAATATCAAAGATGATATTGGCATCTGTAATCAAATTTGTTAGTATAAGAACAATTTACAATAATTGAAATTAATCTGTTTTTAGAATACATTCTTGTAATATTTTTTTATTATAATTTATTGCCTATTTTGAAATTAATATTAAAAATGTACTATTAATAAATTATTAGCGCATTTTATATTTTTAAAAATCAGTTGATCGTCATCATATAATTTATTCTAAAGATGGCATTTATTAACGTACGAAATCATGTTGACCTGTTTTATAAACAGTGAACTAAAGACTTAAGTAGTATGTAATGAAAAGATATTGGTGATTAATTAAAATTAAGTAATCTTGATTGATTACTTGACTTAACACTCTAACACTCTACTTTGTTAATTATTCCATAGTTTCTGGTATTACATGACGCGCTAAATTGATTTTCAACGCAATAAAGTTTATCTCTTTCTAAGCTATATTCTCTACTACATAAAAAGAAACCTTTCACTTTTATTGAAAGAACAAGATTAAAGCGTCTCGGTCTCGAATTAGATGTTAGATTTTGATCATGGGCATCGGTATATCTATATATACTTTGTTCATCGTTGCTGAAATGCAAAAACTTTCAAATATTAATGCGATCCGTGCAAATGGCCAATTACTTCTTTCACGTTAGGATAAAAAAGAATGTTAATCATTTATAATAGTCATTCGTAATCAAAATCATTTAAGCTAATATATATTTTTATTCCACAATTTTTTAAAATCGGATTCTAACAATGATGGTCCTTATAGTTCTACTTAAAATAACCTATCGACCATATTGTAACTAAGTATGTCGAAGTATTTAAAAAGTAACATAGATAACGAAAGTCCAACTTACTAAAAACATAAACATGTTATATTCTATTATATTAGGTTTATTTTCTGTGCAGAAAACAGTGCTGCAAAGTATTAACGAGGATGATCCGAATTTCACCGGCGAGGCCTACACTAGCTTAGCGATAATCTATGCCGTGTTTGCCACGTGCAATTGGTTAGCGCCGTCGTACATTTCGATGACAGGGCCGAGGATCGCTATATTGACCGGCGCTTGTTGCTACGCCCTTTTCATAGGATCTTTCCTCTGGCCTCAAAACGTTCTGCTTTATGCTGCTTCCTGTATCCTAGGTCTGGGAGCTGCTTTGATATGGACTGGACACGGACAATACCTAACGGAGAATAGCGACTCGGACACGATGTCCAGAAACGCTGGTATATTCTGGGCGATTTTTCAATGCTCCATGTTTGCTGGCAACCTTTTCGTCTACTTCATGTTTACCGATTCTAAGATTAATGCGACGACCAGGAGACTCGTTTTCGGTGTGCTCACCGGATTAGCGATTCTCGGCACGTGTTTACTGGCTACCTTGAGAAGGATATCGAATAGCCTAG